GGGGTCTCAGTTTTCCTGGGCTGGGCGTCGCTTCCTCCTGGAGCTGCCAATCCCCCCGGCCGCATCCCCGTGATCCCTCCCTTGCTCACGCTGCCCGGTCCCCTTCATCCCCCGAGTCCTTCCCGCTGAGCTGGCTGTCCCCACCCGTGCAGGACTGAGCCCCGGGGCTCGGTGGGCTCTGGCCAGTGGCTCTTAAGGAGCAGTCGCCCCGTGAGCACTGGCACCCTAGGGTGCATGCCCACCCTTCGGGCCCCTCTCCACTCCCCCATAACCTACCTGCCTTTTCCCACCCGGGTTCCAGATCAAATCCCAACAGAGCGAAGTCACCAGGATCCTGGATGGGAAAAACATCAAGTACGAGCTGGTGGATATCTCCCAGGACAACGCTCTGCGGGAGGAGATGAGGGCGAAGGCGGGCAACCCCAAAGCCATCCCACCCCAGATCGTCAACGGAGACCACTACTGTGGGGTGAGGCTGGTGCTTGGCATGGGGGGTGAGCCCCACGGGGGCTGGGGGGGCAACAGTCCCTTTGGGTTGGTTGCAGATGTTGGCAAAACTCCTTTCGAAGGTGGTTCCTGTGAGACGTGCGAAGCGCTGCCAGGGCCGGTGGGCATTTGGAGCAGGGTGGCTTGTGAAAAATTGGACCCAGGCAGGAGGACTCTGGGTGGCCGTGGGCAGGGGGCTGTGCTGTGTGTGGCTGTCCCTCTGTTGTCACCCTGTTGTCCTCAGCATGACTGTCACCCGTGCTGTGAAGCAGTTAGTGCCTTTGCCTCGTGGTGACCGTGTGGCTCTTCCCCGCAGGATTATGGGGGCTGTGCTGTGTGTGGCTGTCCCTGTGTTGTCAGCCTGTTGTCCTCAGCACGACTGTCACCCGTGCTGTGAAGCAGTTGGTGCCTTTGCCTCGTGGTGACTGTGTGGCTCTTCCCCGCAGGATTACGAGCTCTTCGTGGAAGCTGTGGAGCAGAACACCCTGCAGGAGTTCCTGAAGCTGGCCTGAGCCCCTGGCTCCCCTCCCATCCTGGACTCTACCTGCATTCCTGAGCACCCTCATCTCTGACCACCTTCACTTCCAGGTTGTCAGCACTGTCCTGGCACCGCGACCCGTATCCCAGCACAGGGGAAACCCATGACCAAAACTACTCCTTGCAGCTGCCTACGAATCCCTCCTGCCTAACCCCAACATCATCTCAGAGGGATCCAAAGAAAGCCTGACGCTCGCTGCGCGCGGCCTCTGAGCAGAGCTGGGCCTGGCTCACACTGCAGCTTCCAGTGCCTCTGTAAACAGCAAAGCCTCTGGGGCTGTGTGAAGTGCAGCCTCTGTCAGTCCTCTCCCCTGCATGGAGACCTCCTGCCTTGGGAGGGAAGGGCTCAGGGTTGCATGTTACTTCCCACTTCTCCCAGCTGCTGTTAAAATCGTAAATCCTGCTGCCTCACTTCCTCTTCTTTTTGTTGATCTCAACTTGCAGACATGATGGCAACTAAGGCGATATTTTTTTCGTTTGTTTTTAATTTAATGCAAAAACACTGCACAGAGCTGGGGGCTGACCACCCTCCGTGGAGAAGGCTGGGGGGGATGGATGGGCCTGGAAGTGGGACCTGCTCCACCTGCCTTGGCACGGTGCTGGGGTCCCTCCTGAGTGCTATGGGCTCCGGGCTGCTCCGGAGCAGCTGATGCTCCAGCTGTCTTATCTTTCCTTTTTGAGTCAGCTTTTGGTTTGGTGGTTTGTTTTTTTTTTTCAACCTGGACCAAGTGCATTTTGTTTTCCTGCCAAAAAAAGTTTATAACCGTGTGTTGTCTTCCGAGATGCTATTAAATGTTACTGTACCTTTCACCTCGCTACTTGTGGGTTTCCTTTAAATTTGGTTTTATTTTGACTACAGGTTAAACATCACCCTACGTAACGATTCTGAGTCATTTCCAGCTCAGAGAAGCTGAGTCAGTTGTACTCCCTGCTGCAGCCTGACACAAAGATCTTAACACCTTAGAGTGCTGCTGCTAATCAAAGGCTCACAGGACTTGTCTGAGTATCCTACAGTGCGGTAGCCACAGGTACCTCTCCCCAGCATTCCTCTGTGTGTGGTAAGAACAACAGCCCCGGGGGAGGGACAGCTTCAGCCAGACATGGGAGTGAAAAACAAATCCCTGGTCAGTTATAGACCAGGATGTAGAGGGGCAGTGGAAGACCTTCCCTATAGGAGGTTCCTCTGTATGCTCCTATAGCTGCTCTGGATGGAAAAAGGAGGAAACCAAGCTAGAACTGTGGGGATTGAGTCACAGATCATGGGGAGCCTGTGGAAGAGGCTGGTTTGCCCAAGTCATGCTTCCTATATTTGAGTTGTGCAGGGTCCAGCTCTGCTCTTGAGGAGTCTGGGAAGAGCTCTGGGCATCCTGGCCCTTTCCACAGCAGCTGTGCCTTTGAAATCTTAATGGGAGTGGAAACTGCAACTGAAATGGTTTTCTCAGGAGCCTCTGGTGAGGGCTGGGTGGCGGCGTGTGCAGGGCCTCTGCTGGAAGCAGCCTGCCAGAAGCACTGCCTCGCACCCGTGGGAGTGTCGGCGGCTGGGAGTCAAGTGGGAGCTTGTCAGAGCTGAAATGGGAGGAATGTGCTGGGGAAAGGGGCCTGTGGAGCACAGCCCCAGCCCGTGGGAGATGCTTTGCTCAGGGTTCAGCCGAGAAGCAGCACAGGGGTTATGCTCTTCTCCGATGACACGGTGTCCTGTTGCAGCATCCAGCTCCTGTGCCGAGGGAGGGAGGGAGCTGAGCTGGGGGCTGGCCAAGGGAAGGGGCTGTTCACGTACAGGAAACCCAGGAGCAGGATCTCCTGGCCAAGATGGGGCTGGCTCGGTCCCAGCGTTGTTGTGGCTCAAGGCTTTTTGGTTTAGCTTCACCAGGGACTGTATAACCGAGCCTGCTTCTCTAATGGCCTAAGTGCAGTCGAAATCTCTGGGGAGCAGCTGTGTGGAAAGCAAATTGGCCCTGGCTGTTTGTCTGTCCTGCTGTAGAGAATCCTGAGTCTAGCCAAGCAACTGCTTGGTACCAGTGTAAAGCTGGTGGCCTTCTCTGGACATGGATCAGCCTGGGTAACCTTCAGCAGAGATGAGAAACCAGTCCTTGGGTTTGAGCTGACAGAAATGCCCCATGCTTGGCACCCACCTGGCAGCAGGATGGGGCCCAGAACCCACTGCCACAGGGAGAAGCCAGGCTGCTCCCTCTGAGCTCTCCTCTCCATCCCAGGTAGCAGCACAATGGAACAATCTGGAAAGATGCCCCTCTCCTCTTTTCCCAGCCAGGGGAGACTGTAACATGGTTAATGATCTGAGGCAACTCCTTCCTCTTGCGGAGCTTAGGGTGAGCAGCTCTTGCTGTGAAGCTGTTTACAGCCCTGTCCCCCCTTTTTGGGAGGGGTCTCTTCTCCGCAGCAGCAAGGAGGCGTTGGGGATCAGGCCACATTCCTGCAGGCTCATGGAGTTGTCAGTGTACACCCTCTGGGGAAAGGTGCTGATGATCTCATATGAGTCGGAGTCTCCACCCCTAGGAAAGAACAGCACAGTTTTTCCTATGTGCAGGATCCCCCAAGGTTTTGCTGGGATGCTCTGGCTGATCCAGCTGTCATTATGTAAGAGCAGAGGGAAGAGAGTGTTTCACAAGCATGGGCTGAGCAGAAAAAAGGGCTTCCTGCCCAAACTGTGAACAGCCAGGCATAGAGAGGCCTTTCCAGGCTGCACAGCTTGGTGGGGAATTCTCCTGCATTCCCACAGCAGTGAGCTCATGCTGGGTGGACAGGCCAGGGCTATGGCCTGCAATAGGACTGGGAAGAGGGGAGAGCAAATGGGTCTCCTCAGCTGTCTGGAGGTGTCCCCAAAGGGATGTGTGAGCCCTTTGAAGAACACTTTAAATGTATTGGGATAGAGAGCTGGCTGAGCATAGGGTGAGGTTTGCCCAGCAGCAGATCCATTGGCCAAGCTGAAGGCTGCAGCTTGGCTTCCAAGCTGCACCAGCACCTTGGGAATGGTGGCACCAGGCAGGTGAGTGGTGCTGAGCAGCTGGGAGGAGGCAAAAGGCAGCGCTGGACCTGGGTCAGATGGTGATTCTGAGAGGACAAAAGAGGCTTATCTCTGCTGCTGTGTCAGCTTTTTGGTGATGGTGGGTATTAAATGCTCTGAGCTGAGTGTGACCCTGGCAGTGCTGCCCAGGGAGCATCTCTGGGGGAGCCACAGCAGCAGAGGGTGCCCGGCAGCTCCTGGGGCTGGGCTGTAACCCCAGCCCTGCTTGGCTCAGGCTGATCTGTTTAATCAGCTCCACGGCCTTCAGCAGCAGCCAAGAAACCTTCCGTGGGGCTCAATGGAGCCGGGTGGGGAGTGAGAAGTCCTGGGGCTACCTGGCGTGGGCGAGGCGCTGGCGCAGGTCCCCGATGGTCTCTGTGAGCAGCAGCTTCAGGACGTAGCTCTGCTCCCCACTCTCAGATCTGATGCGGAGGCTGCAGACGTCGGGGGCAGAAGCTTCACCCTCTTCAGCTGCCTCCACCCTGCAGGTGAGAGAAGCTTGTCAGCTGAGGAGCGAGGGCTCTGCTGGTGGCAGAGCCTGTGAGCTCTCCTCAAAGGGCTCTGGGCTCTCCTCTGGGCTGCTGGGGTGATCTGGACCAGGTGGAGGTGTTGGGAGGTGTTTGACCTTTGGGAGTGTCCTTGAGCTGAACAAGGCCCCATCTGATTGTAGACAAGCAGCCTGACCCACAGACCAAACTGCTGCTTTGCTTTCCCTGCCTAAAGGTGTCTTGGAAAGAGGCTTGCTGACCCTTTTTTAGCCTGTTCATTTTAGATCAGGGCTGTCTGGTAAGTACTTTGCCCTACTTTTTTGATTAAAAATAATTTGCTTGGGTTTTCTTTTTTTTTTTTCCATTATCTATTTGGGTCTTGTCTTGCCAGAAGACTGAGTGGAAAAGTGTTAGTGTGACCTCCCACTCGAGCATCCATTTCTTGGAATTTTCCCATTTTAACATGTCCACAAACAGCTTTTTAGATGGTTTCCAAGTCCTAATCCTTGGCTTGGTGTTGGGTAAAGTATTTCCCAGCCATAAGTAAGGAATATTTTGAACAACTGAAGCTTTTGTTAGAGATGTAGAAGAAGATAGCAGGTTCACCATAAAAAATTCAGTGGTCTTCCCAAAAGACCAAACTTGGCCTTTTTTTTTCTAATTATATCTAAGATATAAGAAAAAAGGGGCAAGTCCAGTTACTTCCTCAGCTGAAACCCCTGAAATAAACCCTAGGTGATGAAACAGGAGGAAGATGAGAGCCTGACAGGGAGGGATGGAGGGGCTGTGCCTGTACCTCTCTGGGGCAGACAGCCTGGGTGTCTCCACCAGGATCTCTTTGCTGCTCCTCACCCCATCCGAGCCCTGAAACCAAAGCAGGTGAGTGTCACCACTGCCTGCTCTGCACAGAGAGCAACGGGTGCCAGGAGAACCCAGGAGCAGGTTCCAAAGTGCCATGTGTGCTCTGGTGGAACCTCTCAGGGTGGAGGAGGAAGTTATACAGAGCTGAGAGAGGCCCTGGGAAGAGGTGCTGGTGCTGTGCTGGCTGCTGAGCCCAGGGAATTGGCCTGGCCTCCTTCTGTGGATGTTTAGGGGGTGTCCACTCATACCTGCTGTGCTGCTCTGGCTGAATCTTGGACACCAGTCACTTCTCTGTGTTTGGAGGGCTTGGAAAACTTGTTGAGAAACTGCTCCAAGGGGAGTGTGGAACCTGCCAGAGCAGAGGGCAGATGTGTCCATGTGTGAGCTTTTTGACAAACAATTTTCCCCCAGAACAGGCTGATTTGGTGAAATGAAGAGTGCAACAGCCAGCAGGGAGAGCTCTAACCAGCCCTAGCTAGGCTGAGATGGGCTTTTCGTCTCCCCAGCTGAAGCTTGTCCCACTTTCTGGCCCACTAAATTTTTTATTGTCAACATCAACAGTGAGTAACTGTGCAGCCTGTTCAGCACAGCTGGGATAAGCAGCAGGTAGAAACCTGGTTATTCCTCCTATAAACAGTGAATAATGCAACTATGACTATTTTTACAGATTTGGAAGCTTCTTTATCTTGTGAGGGTGTACTTGATGCTGATACAGGTGAAGATAGAAGGACCTTGGCCTTTCAGAAAGGCACAAGGAAAACATGTTTTTGGAAACCTGCTGAGCTTCTGCTCTTTTATTACCTGTCATGTCTCATTCTTTAGGAGGATTTAATGAGAAGACACCACGTGTGCTGCCTGGCTCCCAGCTCCTGGAGCAACACTGGAGCTACAAGCACAGGACTCTGACCCAAAAGTATTCCCTTCCTCACTGAGACTCTACACGTTCCTCTCCCACCAGCTGAACTGCCCTGGTAAGGTTTTGATTCTCCTCTTTGGGAGTTAGCTGCATTTTTGAGGCAGGTTTAAGAATTTACCTGGGATCTTGGTGGTTTCCTGCACTTCACTTGTCTTTGAATAGCCAACCATTTGGCCACGGCCAGGAAAACGCCCTGGAAGGTCTCTCTCCTGAAATACCATGTCCCTTCTGTCAGTCACCTGTTGAGTTAAGGCCACTGCCATAAGCAAATCTGACTGTTGCACAAGCCTGTTCTCACTGCATCAGAGCACAACTGCAGCAGTGACAACAAAGAGGGGTGAACCCCAAATGAAACTGGGAGAGCTGTGTCTTTAGCAGCTGCTCGAGCTGTTCAAAGTCAATGAAATGGATTTTCAGCTCCTATAGGCTCTCTAACAAAGCAAATAATCCTCGTGGATCCCTCAAGCCCCTGGGATAGCCCACCCAGACCACAGGGTTCATCCATCTCAGCAGGCACTGGGCAGCTGCTCCTTTCCACAAGCTGCAAGAAATGTGCCTGGACTTGAGCTTTCCTCTGTGTCTGCTTCTACACTTGACAATGCCATCTGGGTGGAAAGTGGTTCGGAAGCAGCAGGTTGGGGCTGGAGAGGGATTTTTTGGTAAGAAGCCACAGTGGGGATTGTCAGATGGTGCTGACAAACCAAGGAAGTGCTACCCTGAGGCCCCAGTGGTGGGGAAAGCTGTATAAATAGGGGTTGTCTTTCTGTCTGGGTTCCACTTGTGCTCCTCCTATGCTGCTGTCCTTATCAGTATGTACCTGAGATTACTCTCCTGTGGTTTCCAGATGTGGCCAGCTATAGAATCATGGAATGATTTGGGTGGGAAGGGACCTTTCAAGGTTATCTAGTCCAACCCCCCTTGCAGTGAGCAGGGACATCTGCAACTAGAGCAGGTTGCCCAAAGCTGTGTCCAACCTGGCTTGGAATGTTTCCAGGGGAACCACAGCCCCAAGAGCTTTGCACAACCCTCTTTCTTCCATCTGACTTTCTAACTATCGTGCTGACCAGCTTGTTCTGGCTGTCCTGACCTCAGACTGGCCTGAGCAGTTGTGTCCTGCTTTGTCTGTGGCAGTGGGGGTAGGTACACCCCTCTGGTTGTGCCTGCTTACGTTTGGGATGAACTTGAAGACCTAGATTGGATTCCTTGGAGGTTTTCTGTCTGAAAACGTGGCCTTGGCTTTTTGCCATTTCTGAGAAAACAAAAAATGGGGCCCAAAAGAACCTCAGGTGGCCAAATCCATTTAAAATGAGGCAAAATAAACTCTCCTGAATATCCTCCTTGAGAGCTACTTGTTCTATCTGGTTTTAAAAGATTTTCCAGGGGAACTAGTTGAGAACTTTTTTCCTCCTTATTGTTACACAGCCCTTCAGATACTACAGGTACTGCTTCTCTTCTGCAAAGCCTGCAGTGCTCTTCAGAAGTGCTGTTCCAAGCCAAGACTCTCTGAGGCAGAGAAACCATCCAGTCCTAACACAGAAACAGTGATTTCCTGTAACGGCTCCAGCACGTGTGCCCCCAGCCACCCCCTCCCCAGGACACACGTGCACAGAATTGAGCTCTGTGTGTGCTGTGTTCAGAGACCTCAAACTTATTTGCTGCAGGGAGCATCCAGCAGATGGGTAAAAGAAACCTGACCAATTTCCTCGTGAAGGAAGAGAACAATTTCATCCAAGAAGCCGAGAGTTTTGCACTGCTTACCTGCAAAGGGACCCCATCTGGGTAGTGCTTCTGCAGCTCTGAAGGGAAATAGCCATCCATAATATCCTGCAGGCATTGCTGAAACAAAACATGAGAGCTCCTGGTAGTACCTCAGGCTTTCTGTTTATCTCATGACTGATACGGTCCTTCTGAGCTGCTCCTATTTGGGGTGTTACTGCTGTGCAGAATAATCTGTGTCAAAGGGGCAGAATCTCAGTCTCTTAAGAACTACCCCACGAAGACCTACTACTCTTTACAGACACCACGGGAAGGCAGGTGTGAAGCTGGAGGTCTTGGTAGCTCCAACTTTTTTGGGCTGTGGCGAGCTCCCAAGCCCTGTACCTACAAGTGTCCTTTTCTGACGCTTAGTGGATGGCAGCAGGATGGGTCCAAGTCTTAACTCCTCTACAGACCCTTCCATACCTGCGTGGCTGGGTCCTGGTAGGGCCGGAAGGGTCCGTGGCACATGATGATCCCATTTTGGTACAGCACCAGAGGGAGGGGTTCCGGCTGACTCAGCCAAGCACCCCCCGGCCTGTGCTCAATTTGACAGCTGCCTTCTCCAGCCAGCACGTTCAAATCCTTCACCTTTTCCAAGATGAAATCAAAATCAATCTGGTGTTGGGAAACCACTGCTTCACCTGTGGTGGAAGGATGAGAGTTACAGGGGGAAGGGGATGTTGGCCGAGCAGCTCCCACCTCCCTGTGCGTTTGGAGCCCTAACGTTTTCAGGCTGGGCCACCTCCCCACGCTTGGCCTTTTGCACTTCTGCAAAGTGTGGTGCAACACGGGTGCTGCAGTGCTGCCGGGCTGAGATGGGTGTGTGCAAAACCACAGGGCAGGGCAACAAGCCACGAGCTGCTGTAACTCCAGAGGCAGCTCTTTAGAGAGGCCACGCCGCGCTCCTCGGCTTCACTCGCGATTTCGGGAGTGTTGTCTTGTCTCTTAATGTGGTGCTGTAAAATGCACGGAGGCAGGAGCTGAGCTGGTTGGATGGGGTAAATAGGTCGGGGCAGAGGTGCTGAAGAAGTGCCAGTGTAAACACAGCTGCCTGCCTGCTCCTTGCCACCAGCAGGTTGCTCACGCTCGCTGGGACGCCGCGGCGGATGTTTATCAGGGTGCTGGAGGAGGCTGAAGCAGTGAAGAGTTGTGATAGGACAGAAAAATCAGAAATGAAAGAAGTAGGCAGAGATAAAGCCTTTGGTTCTTTCTGGGTCTGCTTTTTTATGATTTGATAAAAGAGGGAGGAGGAGATCTCCCTTAAGAAGTGTGATTTGAAAACAATGAAAATTATTTCTACTACTTCCCCCACCTTTGCCCCTCCTACCTCTAAGGGAGGGAAGCATTAGTTTGCTTCCCAACCACTATGCAAATATTAGCTGTGTTGGCTGTACAGGCCAAGTATTATTCTTTTTTCCTCTGTTACCACTTCCTAAGAAGCCATTGCTAAATATGCTTGGACCCCATACAGCACAATCAGGTCTCAATTAAACCACTCACGTGGTGGCTGGGAGGAAATGCAAACAATGTTCTCTGATGGAGCCAGGCAACATGGGTAAGCTGCTCCAGCTACTATGTACACAAGCAGCTGATTCTCTTTTCCACCCATTTTACGTCACAATTATTAGAGTAATCAAGCTTCAAATGTTTTGGGTATGTGAATGCTTCCAGAAGCAGCTGCTGTGAGGGTATCCTCCAAATGGCTGAGCCAGCAGGTTCTTTCCTCTTCCCCTAGATGGGGCTTACAAAATACAGGTATAAAATACCAATGTTCTGCCAAGCTTGGCTCCTGTTCCATGGCTCTGTGTCTTTGTCCCTGAGATGGACTGCTGGGAAGACCTCAACACAGGATGACAAATTCTGAAGACCCAAATTCTGGGTCTTTGATGCTTATCTACTCTGGATAGTATCAATCCTTCTCCAAGCATGCAACAGGAGGTAGGACAGCTGCTCCAGCAGACAGTGCTGCTGCTTTACCTGGCTTCCAGAGGCTCTGTGCTGGCAGCCCTTCTTCAGCCCTGAGTGATTCTAAATCTTCCAGCCCTTCGTGTCTGTCTCCAACCCAAATCAGACCATAGTCATTTAGAAACTGCTGTAAGAAGAAAGTACAAGTCAGTGTGGTAGATGAGAGATTCAGAGAACTAGAAATAGAAGCCTGAGAGAAGTCAGCTGTGACTGGGAGAAGCAAAACAGGAGGTGAAAGAGGTTTCTCTGTGGTCCTGACAGACAAACTCACTGGCAGTGTAGTAGTAGCAGTTCTACTAGAAGAAGACAAACAGAAGAATGAAAGTGTTGGTAGTGACACAGTAATTTCCCAAGACTGTAGTACCTGCAAAGAAAATTCCTGCAGCCCTAGAAACTGAACTGGAGAGGCTTGCAGGAGGCACAGATGTTTGAAGAACCTCCTACTTCCTTGCAGCTGACACCCAACCTGCTCGTTCTCATCAGAGAGGTGAGGTGAAGAATCATGATGATCAAAGTGGCAGCTTGAAAAGGATCAAACAGCCTGGGACTGCAACGATCTCAAACCAAAGGTGCAGGTGGCTTAGGGGAAGTGAAGCAGGTGTCTCACCTCCATCTCCCAGACCTGCCTCTGCAGCTGAAGGCACCTAATTTCCAGTTCCTCAACTGTGGATCCATCAGGAGCATCTGAAAGGGGAAACTTTTTTTCTATGTACAGCCTTAAAGAAGAGCTATCAGTAACACATCACACAGTGCCAGTGCCCCAGCAGTACCTGCCTGTGCTACAGCTGAACCCAAGCCCATAAAACACAGGAGCTGAACGTGAGCTCTGCACGCTGGTCCCTGACAATTCAACCTCCAGCAATTTGATAAAGATGTTGACAGACTCAAAAATGGTTGTGAATGGCCCAGGTGCAGTTTCTGCTGTGGAGAGCTGATGTGAGCAGTGCTGTTTGCAATTACACAATGAGAATTGCTTGGCTTAGTCAGTCTTAAGTGACTTATTAAAAAAATAAGTAGGTGTCCACTAACAAACCCAGGCTGAATGGGGAGGACAATGCACAATGAGGTACAAACCAGCTGTTTGTGGTTTGACAGGCATGTTCTTGTTTTCTGCTCAGGAAATGGAGAACTTACCACAGCTTTGTGCTCACAAGGTAGTTCAGCCATTGTAGGAAATGTCTGGGCTCAGCTGGAGAGCTGCTGGATTCCAGGGAACCAAAGAGGGGAAAGCCCTTCAGTGAGTCACTCAGGGCTGAATTTGGTTTAGAGTTAGGCTGCCTTACAGGCCCTCTAGTACTGTTTGAAGCTCCAAGTAGGTTTTTGATTTTGCTTAGCTGTGAGTAGCTCTGTTTTTCCAGCCTGTTTGAACTCAGCAGTATTTACTGCATTTGTTGTTTGGGTTTTTTTCTAACATCCTCAGGTATCTGTGTGGTTGGTTTATGCTCATGGGAACTTAGTAACCCATAGAAAATAGGTCAGGAAATAATAGTTTACTCTGCACCAGAAAAGCCAAGTAAAAGAGGCAAGTGTGGGCCTGCTTTGGCAAATGGTGCTCTGTGTGTAACTGGTACCACTCACCAAAGAGGCTCTTGGGCTTTGAAGGCTCCAAGAGGAGGTCTCCAAACCTCCTCTGTTGCAGTACCAGGAGCTCTGCAGCTCTCCCACAGGTGGGAACAAGGTGCCAAGGGTAGAACAGTTTTTTACCTTCTCCTTTCTGAAGAGTCTGCATCTTTTCTTCAAGTTCAGCAATCCTCCTGTCCTTCAGGACCAGAACAAAAAATGACCTTGTTTAGTTCCTTGGCTTTCAGGACCTTGAGGCACAGTTTGCACAATTAGTCCTGGCCAGGTGAGTCAGTGGGGCACGTCCTCTCACCCCACTCCAGAGACAGGCAAAATAAGGGTCAGAAAGGCTGTATCAACCTCACAAATACCTTAATTAGACTCAGATGAAGGGTGGGATAGAAATACACTGCTCCAGGGATAGGTGAGGGACACGCTGACCTATCTCCCCCTCCTCCATCTGCACAAGGGCTGTAGGCGGACGCACGGATACGTGGCCCTGTGCTTCCTGCTCAGGCACTGCTCGTGCTCTGACCTGCAGTGAGTGGCTGATCTAGAAACAAAACCAGCATCTCTGCAGCCACCTCTTTAAAAAAAGAAAAAATTAAAAGGGCATTTATTCTAAGCTGCAGTAATGTAAAGAGGTCGGCTCCAAGTTGACTCTGCTATTGGTTCAGAAAGCTGAAAAGAAAGGTCTGAAGCTCAACAAACTGCTCATGATAGGAGTGAGAGGGTGCCAAGAGCCTCCTCTTTAAGAAGTCCCATCAAGAACTGTCTGCTCTCCACCCCAGGGACTGACACAATTGTTCTGTTGCTTTGCAAAAGCCTGTTTGTGTAATTAGCAGAGCAGTAATTAGAGCTACAGGTTAACTTGTTTTAGCCCAAACGAGGTCTGAGTGGGTGTCATGCTACTGTGACTTCAATTATCAGAGCAGGGCACAGAAAAGGTTTTTAAGAGGCAGGATTTTTACCTTCAGTTGGAGTTCTTGTGCTTGTTTCTCTATTTTTTGTTCCAACAGAGTGATTTTTTGCATCATGGAGGACACAAGCTCCGTGTCAGTGCGAGCTGCACCTGAAATCACAAATAGAATGTTACCTCTCTAAAATGGCAATCAGTATCTGGGGCTCCTTTGTGCCATGGGGGAGCACTAAAATTCCTCTTATGCCACAGCAGGTAGGACTAGGGGACCTTTTTTGGGGTACTGTGTAGAAACCCTTTGGCTTCTGACTGGTAGGGGGATGGCTGTGTCACTAACAGCAGACTGTGTATGCAGGATGGGGACTGCAGAGAGGTCCTGGCCTGGGGTATTGAGTCCATCAGACTGTCACTGAGACACTGTCATGGCCCAGAATCCCCAAATCACTGAGGAACTTTACCCTGCATGTTCATTTTCAGAGCTGTCCCCCTTAAGCAGGAGAGAAGACTGCCTCACACCGGATCCTTTGTCCTAGGAGACAGGCTGTTATCTTCTGAGAAGAGGCATGAAGAGCATGAAAGAAAGAAAATGGGTCAGCATTTTGGATACATCATCTCCAAAGGCAGGTAAGGAAATAGTTGGTTTATGCTGAGGGAAAGAGAGGGCAGGAGAAAGCAGAGTGGCTCAGTCCATCCACTCCCATGAGTACCCTCAGACTGATGAGTGTGTGTGGGCACTCATGAGCCTGCACTCAAGGGAAGGTTCACTCTCAGCAGCTGGGAGGAGTGAACACAAAATGGGGCTAGCAGAAAAAGTGCCCCTGAGTCGTACAGAGCCTCCTGTGCTGCACAGAGAGGAGAAAGTGCCAACACTGAGCTATTTTAACAAACCCCACAACACTCTGGGGTTAACAGAAGCAGCAAACTTTGCTGGGAGTGGAGAAGGAGTTTTTGCTCTAAAATCTAGTAGGAAGGCTGTGACTTACCTATTTTTACAGTTCCATTTTAAGCCTCTAATGTTCTCTAGGGCTTGCTGAGGATGTGGAAACCTTTGGTTACTTATCTGATTTTTAGATATGTATGAGAAAAAGGGCTACAATAATTATAAAATACATAGGCTGGTAAGAAAAGCCTTATGAGTGGAGGCAATGAACTTGGACAGCTCTGCTCTCTTAATAAAAACAAGTGGGGATAACATGTGTAAATGAAGTATAGGTTCATTAACTTTGGATTTCCTTAATAGGCAATTTTTTAAAAATGTAATTGAAAAGGCTGTGTAAAAAAAAAAAAGCCCAAACTATACGTTTTTCTCATCAGCCCATCTTCCCTGAAAGGGTTGTCAAGACCTGGCCCAGGTTTCCTGGGGCAGGGGTGGAGTCCCCATCCCTGGAGGGGTTTCCAAGCCGTGGAGATGTGGTGTGAGGGACACGGGGCAGTGGGGACCTGGCAGGGATGGGTTGAAGGTCTGACTCAATGAGCTTAAAGGTCTCTTCCACCCAGAGTAAATCTGTGATTCAGTGACACCGAGGAGACACAAACATGACACAAACCTGTGCGAGTCGGGACTGACAATATCCCCGGTTCCTGCCGGGCTTCAGTGCCGGCCAGGAGGGGGCAGATAAGAAATGTGGGGAGTTTTATTTGAGCTAGTGCTGTTTCTGAGCCTGTCCCTGTCATGTGCAGCCCCGTAGATCCCCAGGAGACCGGTAGCGATCGGCTCTGAGGGAGCGTTGGGCAAACAGCGGCTGAGAATAACGGAAGTAACCGGGCGTTGCCGGGC